TAAATTTTAAATAGTATATAATCATAGTTTTTATTTAAAAAAAATATTATATAATATTTTTATTTTTAAAAAAAACAAATCATATGTGTATTTATAAAATTTAAACAGGCAAATTTGTCTGCTTATCTGGATAGTTTAAGGGATAACACAGTAATAGCTGTAGGTATAGTATGTAGTTTGGGTTTAAATATTAAAAGAAAATTTTATTTATTATTTGTAGCAGGTAACTTAAAGATTTATGGATTCTGTAATATGTAGCCAAGTATAGTACACAGTGGGTAGTAATACAAACAGCTAGCTCAGCTTAGCTTATAGCTAATATTAATTAAGCCAACTGATCTATCTGCTTCAAATCCAGAGCTAAGTTGTTTATGAGCTAACCAACCTCAAGCCAAGCTAAGCTATTACTATAAACATAAAGTATATAAGATTAAAAATTTGTCTAATCAAATATCTATTACTTCAAAGTTTTTACAAAATTAATATAACATAAAAATTGGTTTGTTATTGTTCTTATAAAGATTTAATATTAATTTTTTTTAAATATTATTAGTACTTTGAATTATAGTATGGTTATTATATATTTAGCAATAGATATATATATATAGATATATAATATTATAATCAGGGATATACCAAATTAAAAAATCAGATTTTAGAATAATTGGTATATCAATTCTTGAATTTGATTGGCCTTTATATATCTCTTTGTTAGCATTTTTTAGAAATTTTTTACACCTTTAATTTATTATTAAAAACTTGCAAAAAAAAAATATAAATTAATATTAGAAGATTTTTAGTTTAATTAATTTATACTAATCTATGCTGATTAGCTTACATTAAAAAAGTAAATAAGAACCAAAATTTGAGCATTCGTCTTATTTAAACCAAAGTATAATAATCTAATTTTACTAACTGGTTTATATATTTTAAATATTTTTTTTGTAGTGTGGTATCTCAGTTGGAATGTATAATAGTATTAGCTTAACAATTTGCGATTTAAACTGCAAAATAGTTTGTATAGTAGTATTAGCAAAATTAGAAGATTAGCAAACAGTGTGTTACTATTCTTTTATTAATATATTCTTTAAAATTTAGTTTTTAATTATAATTATTACTAGATAGTACAGTTGAAATTAAAAAAGATAAATATAAGCATTCAATTATTATCAAAAATTTGCTAAGACAGGTTATTTTAATAAAAGCTTCGTTTTTGGCTATTGCTACAAAAATAAAATTAGAGCTGATATTAAAGATAAGATGTGAAATAGATAATGTTTATAAAATATTTATATTAGATTATTGCTATATATTAGTATATTAAAATATAGCTTCAAATATCTAAATTAACAAATAACTTATTTGTTAATCTAGTTATAGAATTTACTTTACTTTCATTACATAAATCTTATTTCTATAATAAATAATAGTTAGAATTATTTGTATCAAAGTTAATATTATGTAATTAAAACTGACAAACAAGATTTAATGTGGTATATGTGTAGCTTAAATTCTTTTTCTAATATTGACATTAAATACTAATCAACTTTGAATACTTTTAAAATAATTTTACAAGTAACGTATAACATAGACTAAAAGACCTCCTTTGATAATACCCTCACAATTTTCAGAGGCCTAGAATATAAAATACCCTGGGTACTAAGAGCGAATTAATTATACTTTGAAATGTGGGTAATTTAAAAAGGACTAATTATATTTAAAATATTTAAAATATTATTGTGAAATGCATATAATACAATTTACAACTCCACGTTAACCATACTATCTCGCGGACCCCCAAATTTGGTATATTCCCTGACTGTATTATTAAAAAACACCCTTTTCTTGTGATTTAAAATAGGCACATAAATATAATTGTTTTAATAATTGAATTACAAAATTATATTTATAACGCACATAAAATTTGAGCCAATGTTCAAATAGCGCACACAAATTAAAGCTTGAATTTTATACACTGCCTGCTATAACATTTCATAAAATAAATAGCCTTTGCAACATAACAGATAAATGAATCAATCAATTCAAGCATTTCAAGTATAATCCTACAACAAATTATTTCGAATATAATAATATTTGTATCAAAAGCTTTATAAATACATGCAATACTTTTAAATATTTACAAAAAGATTAAGATTTCTAATATTATTTTCATATATTAAAACCGGGTTTAATATATGAAAGTAAAAACCGGTTCAAAGCCCTAGTTCAAATTAATATGTATATATTAAGCTTTTATATTGAATTTTTATCATTCAATATACTCAACTCTTCGGACACACTACGTAACACCCAAATAATCATTGCATTATTTCGTTTTACGCCGCTTAGCTTTCGGTACTTCCTCCGTTATCTCGGAATGTTTACGTTTCTTGTGACATGCCATACCTCTCAAATGAGTAAATCTCATCTTGCAATTAGCATAATCGCACTTGAATGGTTTTTCTCCACGATGCACACGCGCATGACTCTTCAAACTGTTCAGGGTATTAAAACCTCTGCCGCATCCAGGTTCGTCACACACATATGGCTTCTTTCCATTGTGTGCTTGTTGATGAATCACAAAACTTTTTAAATATGTATAACTTTTATTGCATCCGGGATAAGCGCAAACAAAAATTTTCTTATCCGTAAGAACTCCACTGTTTTTTACTGGTACGAAGTGATTTTCATCAACAGCATCAATCACGTGACTTTCATCAACAGCATCAATAACGTGACTTTCAGTGTCAGATTCAGATTGATCATGATAAGGCACATCTGTAACGTGCTTGCAATCACCTACGTAAAATGTGATTCAAATGGCAATAATTAATATAGAGAAGTAGTTGTCATTCAAATTATATATATGTAGAGGTTGTATTCTTGCAAAAATTATTATCACCGACACTAATTGCAGACTTACTTGTATGACATGTATAATTAACACTTGTATTACTTTGAGTTTCAAGTTTTCCTAATATCTCATCATCCTCGAGTTCATCGGGATCTTCACATATAGTAGAATCATCACTATCATCATATAACGTCGTGCTCGTTTCACTAACGTCATACACTGATTTCCTCGCGTTAAGATCTCTAAAAATACAATTTTCATTTGTTTCCTTAACTCCTCTTAGGCATGATCTCTCATCTCTGATATCGTTATTACTACTCGTTAAGATATTTTGTTCTACATGTTCTACACTATGATCATGCTCATCTTCACGTGTAATCTCACTTTCGTTGCTTCTCTTAGAAGATTCACCTATTCTCCTAATTTGTTTACTATTACTATCTCGTGCGTCAACCAACGAAATACGTTCAGCAATACCATTTGTTGAATTTTTTCCATCAACAAAAACCAAGTCGATCATATTATCATCACGGCATGATAGTTCTGACTTCATTCTAACCTTTTTAGTCTTTCCACAAATTGTAAGTACAGTGTTTCCAGTTACCTCTAAAAGATTTTTAACGCAAAATAAAATGAAAGGGAAAAGGTAAGTTTATTTGTGTTCACCTAAGGCTTTTAAACTCTTAAAGATTTCCTTTCCTTATTACTATACACTATGGCTTAATTACACGAAAACAAGAGCTGATTCCTCAGTTTACATAAGAAAGAATTATATACGAAACCTGGTAACCGAATTTTAAGATGATCTGCGTTAACAACAAGCTTCTTCATCTTTATGAAAAAGTAATGAGGGTTGATTCTAAAAGGTTTTTACACCATTAGAACGGGCTAATTAAAAAAAGCGTATATGGTTTTGAAAATATACTGACAAGGGTATAAAATTTTCATATAGTAAAAAACGTGTCTGGAACGTTCTTTCAACTGTGAAAGGAAGTCAATAAATTTGAAATATGTATAAAAATAATATCTTTTCGTTTCTGCTAAAGGTTCTATCAAAGTTTATGTGAATTGATTTTTTTTTATTGTTAAAGTCGGAAACTTTGGTTGAGATAATTGTACACACGTACGTACGTATGTACAAAACAATTCATTTATCGTTAAGTAACTGTACTACAGTGCATCACCACAAATGAAAATTTTTAGCGGCCTTATAAATATATGTTGTAAGTGGAAACGGAATTTAAGTGGATTCGGAATTTATATATAAAACCCCGTTCTGGGGTTGATTTTA